GAGGGATTGATGTCCACAGAGGGTAGCACACCTCATTCCTGAGGACACCTGATGTCAACCATCTTCCTGCTGCAGATTCAGCTACCAGGGGAAACACAGCAGGTCCTGTATGTGGAGTTGGGTCACAAAGGCCATCATCAGAGAGGACCTTTGATTCTCAGTGGCTTCACATGAACACGGCCTTGTTTCTCACCCAGGCCAGGTCTCTTTCCTCATACAGAGGGTTCTGTCTGTCCTGGGTGTTGTCCACCTCCATGTGATCAGCCCACTGGGAGGGAAAGGCCGCTGTAGCACTGGCTACTCACATCTTCCCTTGGAAGTCACACATGAGGTTTGCTCACAGTCTGTTTCCTAGGCTTATTCATGGCTACCGTCAGGATTGACACTCATCAGAGGCAAGAATTCGGAAGCACAGTTACATGCTGTTCAACAAGAAAATCAGATGACTTGCTATCAAATAAAAGCACTGCTAAGAATTGTGTTTGTTAGAGAACAGGAAAACAAAATAGGTGAGTTTTGGTAATAGAATTTGGTTAAAATTTTTTAGAACATCGAGTCTTTTTTGTGTAATGCATTTATAGTTCTTTTTTACAGAAAAAGGCAGAATATTTGAATAGCAGCGGTATATTGGGTGGATGATAAGAAGAACTGGACAAAGCCTTGAGTTTTGAGTGTATCTTGCTGGAGAAAAATCTTTTTAGCAGCACGCACATACTTCTTATATGAATTTAAAAGAGAAATGAAATGCATGGGTTGGGGGGGGGAGAAGAAACGTTGTTTCCCCTGCTCATTCAGATTCTTGACATGGCTGCCCCTCTGTTTTAGTTAGTGAGCCAGGAAATATAGTCAATGGCATGCTGGTGGCCATAGCTTTACTCTCCTGAGGTATCTTTCATGCTCATGTTTCATTGGCTAAAGCAAGTCACATGGCCACCCCAACTGTTATTACTGGTCAAATAGTACTTACCTTAAAACAAAACAAAACACAAATGAAAACAAAGCTGAGCTAGTAAGGAAGATGGAGAACTTCATTAATCATTTTTGTGTCTTCATTCCAGACACCTAGGCCAAATGTTTTTCTTTATATTGTGTTATTCAAAGCAATATATAATGTCCAATAGTTACCTCTTGATATTTATTTTCTTTATTTTAATTCACTGGCTGTCAAAATATTACATAGAATAATAATAGTGAGTACCCTGCTGTACTCCTGATTTTAACAAAAATGCTAATTATGAAGACTGCTATTTAAAAGACAAGTTTTTCTCTTGTTTTTAATAAATAACCTATGTCAAGTGGCTGGTTTAATTATATTTTTGGTGTTTATCAAGTGCGTTGCCCCTAAATGAATGTTTTAGTCCTAAATAAATACTCGATTTAGGACTTATGGCTTAAGCAAATCATGTGAAAATTTTCCTTTGATGTATTTTATGGTGAATTACATTAATGCATTATATAATTTAAGTCAAGTTTGCAATCTGGAACAAACCCAACTTGGCCAGAGACTTAATGTTCTTATATATTCTTGGATTCAGTTTGCTTATATTACTTTTTTTAAGCATTTATGGAATGAGCACAATTGGCTTATTTTTTTCTCAACTTAAATATGAATATGTAATGTATAAATATATAATTAGTACATAAAAATTATTACATAAAAAAAGTACATCATAGTCTTGTAAAATGGGAAATTCTCTCTCGTAAGTCACTGCAGGGAGGGTTTTTTGAAAACCGTGTTTATCTTTTCCCAGAATGTGTGCTTCAACTCTCTGGAACCATAGTTTTCCTTAGGGAAGAAATTTAGATTTAACTGTGGACTATTTAATAATCAACATTATCCATAGTTAGACTTTGTTTCTGCCTCTGCTTTTTTCTCTTCCTTTTCTTCCCTTCCTTTTTCTTCCCTTCTCTTCCCTTTGTCTTTCTTTTTCTTTTTTCTATCTCTTGCTCTCTCTCTCTTTCTGCATAGTCCACAGTAGCAGTGAACTCTCTGTGTAGCCCAGGCTGGCTTTGAACCTGTGGTGATCCTCCTGCCTCAGCCTTTCCGGATGCTAGTATTACAGGCGTGCAACATCACACCAGGCTACTGTTTCTCCTTTGAATTTTTTATTGTGATATAATTTGTGTGAAGTGCACTGTCCTTTATGTAACTTCATCAGATTTTCAGCTATGTCTCTCTATGTAGAAACCCCCCACTCCAGGGTACACCAGAGTCCCACAGGCTCCTGTGGGTTCTAAGACCCATCTCTTTGGGCCTGTGCAGTGAGGAGCGCGGCCATCTGACATCTGTCCCTGGAGATTCCCATGACCCCGGGGTGTAACTCTGCGCATCTGCTGCCTGTGCTGGCCACCGTCTCTATGACATCGTCCCTGTTATTGTTTACCGCAGCCGCTCGTTTGGCTTTGAGCACGTTAGCTGTGCCGCTGTGGGAATGTGCCTCGGTGATTTCCTGCATCCTGCCACTGATGGATGCTTGGAGGGTCTCCAATGCCTTTTTCTCAAATCAGCTAAGTTTGGAAATGATTTTAGGAATTTTTCCGATTTGTCTTGGCATTTACCTAAATTATCATTAAATTATGCACAACACTTTCTTCCCTTTGTAAGTACGGTGCATCTGTACTTTTGCATCTCAACTTTTGTGCCTAATATTACTTATTATACCGCTGCTGATTCTTTCTTTTCTCTTGATCAGGTGATGCAAAAGTTATTTGCTTTTAACAGTAAATCTCTGGTTCCCCTGAATCCTAAGGGCGGAGGATATGTTTTGATTTTGTCCGTGAACAGGATACTAGTGGACCCTCCAGCACTTGGAACTCAAGCTGCTCACGTCTCGCTGTAGTGAGATTTTCAAAATAATGAGGGGACTTTGCTCATCATTGTCTAACTGAAATACCATTTCCTTTACTGAATCAAAACAAATTCTCATTCAGTGTGCTGTAGCGTCTGTCCATCAAGGAAAAGACCGTCTGAGTGGCTCTGCACAATGGTCACAATTCTTCACAGTGTCGTTTCGTGCATCATTTTGCTCTGTGAGCTCACCTGTCCTTCTTAGAGAAGGGGAGTCTGTTTTGTGGCCTGGAACCTGGGCTGGGTACCCCCCAAGTGTGACCAGCAAAGCGTGGACAGACAGGATGCAGGCAGAGGTGTGGAAGGGGGTGCACACTGTGGCCCCCCATCCTACATTCCACACGTTTTTCTGCTGCTATGAGCACAGGGTAGACTCTGTGGCTGTCGACCCTCCAACAGCAAGTCGTCTGCCGGCTGGTGAGGCCAAGTCAGACCATCCAGCTCTGCCCGGCCACTCCAGGGCAGAAGTGCTACCCTCGAATCCACTGGAACACGAGTGGGAAGCAATAGCAGGTGGACACACAAGTAGAGTACTTTTCACTAGGTAGACTACTTTCCCTTCTTCCCTTCCCCTCCTCCTGCTCCTCTTCTCCTCCTCCTCCTTTTCCTCCCCCTCCTTTTCCTCCTTCTCCTTTTCCTCCTTCTCTTCCTCCTCCTCCTCCTCCTCCTTCTCCTTCTCCTTTTCCTCCTCCTCATCTTTCTCCTCCTCCTTCTCCTCCTTCTCTTCCTCCTCCTCCTCCTCCTTCTTGGACTTCTTAGGTACTTGTAGAGGTGGCAGGACTCAAGTGTGTATCAGGAGCGATAGGACTGACTGTCGAAGCTGAGGGACTTTTGCAGGTTACAGGCAGTTTCTAATTGGGATGCAGAATTGGCTGTGTTCAATTGTCCATGTGAGTCCTGACTTCCTGCAGCCTAAAGCAAGGGGCTGCCATGATGGAAGAATTCCTATTCTGAAATGGTGACCAAAATGACAGAATGAAGCACCACAAATAAAAACAAAATCAACTTCTTGGATTCACAAGGTTTAAACAGAAGCCATTGTTTGAAAATGAAGGCTGATTGCATTTTGCAGCAGGGTGGAATGATCTACTCATTTTGGTCACCATGTTGCACCTGTTAATTTTTAGGTATCTTTCCCCAAATTTCTAGGTGTCTTTCTGTGTTATCTTCTTTTCCACTAATTTCCTTCTGTGTTGCTTGGGAATTGAACCCAGGAGCTCATGCATGCTATACAAGTGAGGCCCTAAACTTGTTTTTAGTGTTTTTTAAAATTATTTTTATTAGTATATATTTGCAGAACATGTCTGGATCCTTTTGTTTCATTTTTTTTAAAAAAATGCCCTTGCAACAAAGTGATAATTAACAAGGGAACTGGACATTTGGCAACAGGTGACAAAGTATAAGACTAGAATATTCTCATAGCAAAGCCATTAAAGGAAGACATGTGTCTGTCATTGGCTGTCTCACAAGAATCACCATAGAAGCAGCTCTCTTATTTCTAAACATTTCTAGAAATGCAATGATTCATAGAGAGCAAACATATAATTAACAAACTGTTTCCTGGACAAGTTTTCCATTTTTAAGACCAATGGCAGACTAGAAATATTGGTTGGATTAGCGTATTTCTACGGAGGGTGAGACAGCCTGGGAGAGAGAAATGGGAACTTCAGATGACATTAAAGTACCTGGTGTCGACGGCAAAGCTGCAGTCATAGGAACCCACGTATGTGTCTGCAATCAGACAGCCCAAATGCCAGCAATCCTTTTGCTTCTGTGGTTTAATTAAAATACCTATTTTGCAAATCCAGCATTTTGTGGTGATATCAAAGTCCCTAATAATCTAGAAAAGCACACATGTTTAGGAGAGGGTAACCTAGGCTGAAAGGTTCAGAGATAGCTTCATAGGTCAAGAGACCCTGGCCTGAGCACAGAACATTTTAGGGCACACTTAGAACCTTTGGAATCTCATTCTGAATCACCCCTTCTCCCCTAGAAAGCATTGGAAATCATTCTCTGTGCTGTTGCCTGGCGGTGATGGGCCACTTTAATGAAAGAATTAAAAGGCTGAGGCGCAGGGAAGCAGAGGGAGGGTCATGGAGGGAGGTGTGCACGCTGCTGCTTTAAAATTATGCATGCAGGGCCCATCCGCCCCTCCCACTGCTGGACGTTGGTGCTGGAACCCTGGGGAACTCATTTCCGAGGTGCCACCCAGCTGACAGCGCCAAGTCTCAGGTAACCAGGTGTCCACTGGGCGCATGCTTTCCTGGGCACTCTATCTTCCAGCATTCCCGGGGCAGTGGTCTCTTTGCTGAGTACCTTGGGGGGTGGGGGTGGGTGGATACGGAAATGTTGCCAGGCGTCAAGGGGTGCAGAGGCCCCGTGGAAGGGCTGTTTGTTAATCTGCGTACATAGGGACATAGGTTGAAATGCAGCAGGGCAAGGGTAGCCCAGCTGATTGACCAGTGCAATCACCCACTCAGAATTAGGAGTCCATATGTAGCCTACAATTACTCAGGCCTGGGAGGAAACACTAACACAAATGTCTGCTAAATCCTGAGGCCTAGGATGGACAGATGGTGTTGAGTTTCTAATCAGCTTTGCCACGAGCTTAAAGTTGCTGCCCGGGCTGGGATGAGGGGAGAGGCCCTGAGTGGGTGGCCGCTTTCTGCTGGGCATTTGCAAGTTAGCACTGGGTTGCAGCCTGGAGAAAATGTGTGTGACCCTCTGCCTTGTTCAGCAGAGTGGACAAGCTAACATCCCGGGGCAGTCACAGTCTGCACTTGCTGGATGGTGACGTATGTTACTAGGATGTTTGTTACTAAGTAAGAAAGACATTGGTGGCCCGTGGACTTTTGAAGAGCTTAGTTTGCCCAATATAATCAAGATGTTTATTAAATGAGTATTTTACGTAAGCAATGTGCTTCAAAATAGTTTTTTGTCTGCGAAGTTCAGTGTTGCTCCTTTAGACGCAGAGTGAACTTGAGTTTTAGAGACTCAATGGCTTCCTTCCCCTTGACCTGCTGTGTTTCTGATTCCCAGGCACGGCTCAGGCTGGGGTGCACGTCTCTGCTGAGAACATCTTCGTGGCTACCTGGGTGTGAAAAGCGTCTACATCTGCCCTGTGCAGGGGTCTCGCCATGGTGCTTGAAGCAGCTGGCTTCCCAGAGTGGCTAACAGCCCGATTATTTATTTAGGAAGGCTTTCTCCGGAGGAGGATGTTCTTTTGTAAACATGGACTGCCTGGCTCTTCCACCCGGCTCCGGCTTCTTGTTTCGGGTCATTGAAACATTGATCTTCGCCTGTGTTGCTTCGGTATCGGTGGCTGCCTCCCAGGGTCTCTTCCCCAGGCTGGAGAATGTGGGTGCTTTCAAGGGTGTTTCCATCGTGCCAACCCAAGCAGTGTGCGGCCTCCCAGACCCCAGCACGTTTTGTGACAGCTCCGTGGCTGCCGGAAGCACCCAGTTCTGCACCCAGCGGCTTTGTGTTCAGGACTGTCCCTACCGGTCCTCCTCTCCACCCTACACTGCCCTGTTTTCTGCTGGTGGCAGCACCTGTGTCACCCCAGACAAGAGTGATCTGTGCCCTCAATCCTCTAGCAATTCTACGAGTTTTATTTTTGGAAAACACACGGACTGCTTCCCTTCTCCTCCCTCTCCGAGGCTGGGTGAAGCTCTGACCTTAGCCGTGTGGCTGAAACTTGAACAAGCAGGTGAAATGTAAGTAGGAGTCTGCCGTTCAGCTTTCCTAGGAGGCTCACAGTAAGGAGCCGGGAGATTACTGGTGAGATTGCTGCGAGCTGGCGTCCACACTGGAAGCGAAGGCTTAGCCGCGGGAGCTCAGGCAGTGAAGACTGGCTACCACGTTCGTCTTTCTTGTTCCAAGTTTACAATCTGAGAAGCTGTTCTCCCAAATGTTTTCTCTTCTCTGTGCATGAAGTGGAGCATGAAGAAGAATGTGTTAAAATAGTTTCGTTGCACGCTGACATGTTCACACCTGAGTCACCCTCCACCTTTGGGCTTAGCCTCTGGGTGCTAAAAAGCTTAGTGAGACAAGGCATGGGCACAGGAATACGAATTATTGATATTTTTAAAGCCTCATTCCAGGCTTATTAGACAAACAAAGAATTCATCCCTACTAGGGAATAAAATATTTATTTAGCAGATACTTCTCTTGAGGGTTTAAAATTGTGTTTTATTTATCCCTATTTTCCCAAAAAGAGATGTTTCTTTGACTCATGGGAGAGGTTCAGTATCAGGAGTTGGATGAATAAGACTCCATCTCTGAAAGGAGATAGCTTTTGGCTTTCACTTTGTGGTGTTTTCGTCTCCTAATTAGATAGAAAATATAGAGGTGAGCTAGAGAAATTCTCAAAACCTTTCATACACTCGTTCCTAGCAGAAATGACATCAAAATGAGTTTGGAATGAGGCTTGCTCCCCAGAATTATTATATTTAATCACCTATTTTTTATTAAAGCCTTTTCTCAAACCGGTCTCTAATATATTTCCCTCAAGTACGATAAAGCCGATCTAGAAATTTAATAAACAGGGTTGTTTTGAAGCTTTTAAAAAAATTTGTTTTAGTCTTCCTAGAGGACTTGTGGCCCTTTCCCAGTGATGTTTCCAGAATGTGAAATGTTGACTGAATATGAAAAACATTTATGAAACAAACCAGCAAAGTTTTATCACCCCATAAGCAAATGTGACTGAAATATCTTCAGTGCTTAGTTTCAGTTTTCAAGTGCAAGTTCGCATATTTTTATTTTATTTTACATTTAGAGAGAGAATAATCACAAACCGTTGTCTTTATTTTTAGGGCTCCACTAAATGACAAACTTGCTTTCTTACTGTCAGAAATTCCAGTAAATTTAAGCTACCTGTTTATGCAATTAGCACCAAAAAGTCTGAAAACATTGCCTCTTGACAAATAGGGCTAGAATAAAGCATTTTTTCCTAAACTTCCAGGAACATCTCTGTACCGAATTAATCTTCAATTGGCATTGTTTTATATAAACAGTGACAGGAATATTTATAGAAGAGGTGGCACAGAGTTTATGGTTTTGAGAGTTCCTTGCTTGTATCAAGGTCGTTTTCATTCTCAAAACTAAAATACCTAGGGGAATTGGGGGAATTTCGGGGTGTTTGCACTAGATAAGTAAAACAAACAAAACATGGATTATCCAATTATTGTTTATTCAGGAGCAGAATAAATCCAGTTCCTAAATATTTTGCTACCTGCCGTCCTCCACATTTATTATCTACCAAAGCTAGTATGTTTACAAGCAAACAAAATAGCAAGGAAGATAATCAATAACATATTAAGAAATGCGTTTTCAGTAAGCTTGGGGAAATAAGTCTGCATTTGGTAAATTCATTCTTGTGTAATGATCGAATTCTCACTAGGAGATTTAAACTCAAGAAAAATGAACAGAGACAAACTCTCCTTAGATTATTTAAGACCTGGAGGCAGAGGATAAAGAGAAATGCTTTCATTCCACTAAATTAGAAATACCCAAATCTGATGGGTTAAAAAAAAGAATTGGCAGCAGGATTAATATAAAACTTTCATGTTCATTAAATTTATTTGCGTACATTAAAAATATATTTCGTTCTATATCTTTATTACTAAAGCCATGTGCGAGATATGGTAACAAAGTGACTACTGGTACTCGCCAATCTTACTCTGACTTCCTGACTCGGGAAAAATAGATGCGAGTAGGAAGAAATGATTTATAAAATGTGTATCCCTCCAGGGAAGCTTTAAACATCTCTTTAGCAATATTTCTTGTTTGGCCCAAATTTCCTTTCACCTTTTGGATGCTGCTTCACTGACTCTGATCACTTTTGATGCCACCTGTCTGCCCAGGGTCCCAAAGGTGTGTCACTGTGGTAGCTGCAGAAGTGGTTTCTGAGATTCATTTCGATAACTGGCCTCATCCAACACCTAGACATTTTCTAAAACAAAAAAAGCTTTTCAAAATGCTGTGTTCTTACAAGATGGAATGACCTTTCACCCAGGGTGGGGAGTTCTCTTTCAGGGCCTCAGCTGTGCTCTGTGGTCATGGGGCGGTAGCTTGTCAGCTTTCCGGTGGGGATGGGGTAAGTGGAGACCCTAGCTGTCCACTCTCCATTTCATCATGGGAATTAAATAGAGCAATTCTGACTTCAGGGCTAACAATTTAGCGGCTTCCATGGACACTAAATCTCTTAGCATTAAAAAAAGAAAGATTTGCACCGGTGACTCGGTTCCCAAGTGGGACGCAGTGTGTGGTACCACGTCCTATAAAAGAAATGGCAAAGAAACTAATGAGCCAACAGGCTAAACGTTAGTTTTACAGAATGATTCAACCACTGTAGTCTCGATCATGAATCTCTAATAAAGGGTGTTGAGGCTCTGGGGAATATACTGTAAATAAGAAATCTATTTTTTATTGAAATAAAATGACTTCTTCATTGGAATAGAGTGCACTTTGGGTATAATGTGACCCAGGCTGTCACTCATAGAGCACTATTTTGAGTGGGGTTTGGGGGTTGCACTGGCACCATCGTGTCTGTGCAATGCGTTTGCACGCGTGCTTGCTGGGAAGCTGACCTTTTCTCTCTGCTCTGCTTGCTTCCTTAGGTGCATTATAGAAAAGATGGTGGATGGGCAGACTGTGTTCAAACTTACAATATCTGAGAAAGAGACCACATTTTATTATCGTACAGTAAATGGTTTGCAGCCTCCAATAAAAGTAATGACACTGGGGAGAATTCTTGTGAGGAAATGGATTCATCTTAGTGTGCAGGTGAGTAAAATAAAAAATATTTAACATTTGGTTAAACACAAGAATCTATCTTCCTTGCTCTCCTTTAAATGGCATCTATCCGCAAAATCTGAAGCCGTGTCCTATAGATTTCTGGAATGTGTAAAAGACAACTAAGAAAAACTATTTCAATGACCTCACGGTATCTCTCTGATACACCAGTGGTCACCACTCTCCAAAACTGCTGTAAAACCTCCCCCAGAGCTTAAGGACAATGCTCTTTGTAGAAAGAGCATATTCATTTATTTTATTGTGTTTGTTTGGTGTGTCTTGTTTTTGTTTAAAATGTGTAAAATGTCTTTTGGGGTCTAGTGATAATTTCCCTGGTCACAGCAGACTGGAAGCCATCGCCTGAGTTTTTACAGCTGTCTTTCTCCGATAACATCTGATGATGTGAATAAAATTTGGCTGTCGCATTAAGTGGTGACCTTAGAACTAATGAACTTTACACTTGAGCACTTGGAAGGTGTTATGTCATTATTTTAGTTGTCAACCACAGCTTGCATGAGCCTTAGAAGCTGTGAAAGGCAGAGATGGCTGTGAGATGTCTGGTTTTTGCAGCTCCTAAAGCAGAGACATAGTGTACACTTTTGTTTCTGCAAGGCGTTGCAATGGGTCGGTGTCACATTTGACTCTCCGACCACAGTGCCCAGTTTGTATTTTCCCGAGGGGGAGACCCACAGCCGACAACCCGACTGGCATGTGAAGACATTTGTACCCTTATTTTCATTTGTGCATTTTAAGACAGTCACCTCTCACTTCTCCTGTGGTGTGTTTTGTTTTGTTTTGTGGCTTGGAGGCAGGATTGACTGGAGAGTCTTGTGAATAGTGTTTGGCTTTTGAGTGTTTCACCCGGGTACCATTCTGGACGCAGTACATTTTGTGCTTGTCTGGGTTGTGTCAGCTTAGAACTATGACATTCTGCCATGGATTGGCATAGGGGTACATGAACTACTCTTGGGAGAAAATGCAAAATAAAAATGCAGAAAAGAAGCCAGGATTGGGTTTTAGAAGGCATTGGCCATGTATTCCTCAGTCAGCTGGTCTGCCCTGTGCTCTAGGATGTGGGTTTAGTGAGTGTGCTTAGTAACATTTCTGTGCCGGTAGGCTTGAAAGGACACACAAAGTGTGGGTCCAGTCACGCCAGCCCTGTCTGTGCCCCCGATCCGGTCCTTTCAGTGTGTCAGTACCGACTCCCTTTAGTCAGTTTGCTAACAGATAAGAGACCCATGTCATATCTGGTACTGGTTCACTCTGCCCACCACCCAGCAGGAACATTGAGGTGTCACGTTCAAACTGTAGGACGGAAACCCTGTAGAAAATGCCAGAGACTATGACTTTCTATCAACTATGACTTTTTGAAAACATTTTTACTTGCTTGATTCTGCAAAACTGTGCTCAGTTTTGGCAGGCAGTAGTAAATTAAAAGCTTACAAAGAAAATTTAAAATCTAAATGCAAAGAAATACTGTGCTGAATTACTCCCCTGGGAGTAAAATGCTCTTGGAGTGCCTATTGAAATCAGCATTATCATTTCAGTATGTGTCAAATATGAGTCATTGCCTAGTTTAGGCAAAAATTCTTTATAAATCTTTAAATCTTCCCCTCAGAAAAGGCTAAAGTACTTAAGATTAAATGACACTGATTTATTTCGTAACATTTTACTCTCCAGAGAAAACTTATCCTTTTCAATTTGTACATTTCTTTTATTTTTAATTTTTGCATACATTTTAAACTGTTCTCTATTATGTATACAAAACTATGGGCCGAAGGAGTCATAAAACATCAGGAAAACCATTCAGATCAGCCACTTACCGGGGGTGATCAAAAAAGACAGTGGATATTTACACACACTTATTACCATAATACATCAGCATTAGTCAAAATATGCAAAATACTCCAGTTTGCTTGAAACACATTTCTCCCATCATTCTTGCCACTTGCTGAGGCAGTTTTTGAAGTCCTCTTTCACGAGTATCTTTACGAGGTGTGATCAAAAATACGGTGAGAACTGCTGGCCACCGTCAGTCGGTGGAAAGTGGGCTCCTAAGAACACGACCGTGTCCCCGCCCCCTTCTTCACCCGATCTGGCACGGTGCAGCGTTCAGCTCTTCTGCACGGTCAAAATGACCATCAAGTGTAAAGGGTGAAACTGACTCAGGACCCTGAGGCGGCCAGGACAGTGCAACAAAGACACTCACGGCCAAGGACACCGCTTCAGAAAGTGGCCCGCAGGATGGAGCAGGTGTGCCCGCGGGAGGAGGGTATTGGGCCATAATCCATGGCTGTGTCTTTTTGACTGTAATGAGTTTCTCAAAATGTAAACAACCAAACGTTTTTAGGTTTTAAAAGTTTAAAGTTGATTTTTCTCATTCCTCCTAGCCACTGCAGACTTACTGAATGTTACAGGGGTACCCCACATTAAGGAGGTTCGGCATTGCTTCAGATGAAAATGAGAGAATATTTCTTTACTCCAAATTGAAGAAGTACATAGGGCTCCCTGAGATCGGGCACCCGTCTGAATGTATTTGACCAATGAAATTTGTACGTTTCAGGTATTTAGTAAGGAGCATGCTCCTTTTATAAAAGTGGGCCTGAGGAGTGCAGGGGAGGACAGAGATTAGGAGTTGCAAAATCTTGAGTGGGCTCATGGGGCAGTGCTTTGTCATCTTAAGGTCTTCACTGGGCTTGGTTTCCCCATGTATTTCACAAGAGAATTCAATTCTGTAAACAAAATGAAGCCCAGTGAATCTGCAGCAAGGGCACTGGGAGAGGCAGGAAGTGCAGCTGATGAAGCGGAGCTGTCCTCAGCACGCCAGGGCCCACGGAGCCAGGGCAACAGCCGCCAAGGAGCTGCTGGCCAGGCTCAGGCTGTTTTGCTCTGCTCTGAGGTCTCGGATTTACACCAAACATATTCTGATACCATTTGTGATCAGGATGCAGACAAATGTGATTTGTTCCTCTTTCATTATATAACTGCAAAGAGCATTTGCAGAGAAAAATGTCATTTGCATTATCTGTTATTGCTGTGTTGTCATAGTGTCCAAACTCTGAGTCTGGCATTAGGGACTTTCTGCCACGCAGGAGCTAGACTAGAACTTGTGGCAATCAACGATTGACTTTGGTTGAGTTTCCAATTTTTACCCGTCTCCCTCCACAAGTCAGTGAATTTATGCAGCATGTTTTTGTGTGTGTTTAAAAAGAAAACACGTGTACTTGTGCAATCATTCAGAAATCTGGATTTATCTCCAAAAGACTTGGATGACATAAAACTAATTAACAAATCTAACCTTATGCCTTACCTCAAATAACTCACATTATTTGAGCTTTCTGTCAATAAAGCTGAAATTCTCATCTCCCAAATCAGAACAGAAGACATGATTTTTAAATAATAAAATCCTTGGGCAGAAAAGATCTTAGGAAGAATAATGAACATCAGAGATCTAATTTTCTAAACAAAAAATGTCCAATAGCTTTGTAGTTATGGATCTAACAGCGTTTATTCCAAAGCTAGCATTTTCAAGTTGAAACCAGCTGGAAAATGATTAATTTTTAAATTAATATTCATTCAGAGACTTGAATCTGACATGATTCCCAATTTCAACTTCAGTTTGATGTTTAATACTTTGACTATTTCAAATTATATAAAGCTGAAGTTTGTTATGTCATAGTTTTCACTAAAACTGGAAAAATCAATTCAACTTTTTATTGTCAACTAGGGGAATACTGATATTATTAGCAGATTTTTAAAAGCTTAGATTTCGTGTCGGATTAGCACCTATTTTAGTTATTAAAATCTGATTTTTTAAGCTCTGAGATATGTACAGTAATTTTATTTTAGCATTTTCTTATGGATTGGTAGGTTAAACAACTTGGAAATATATGCATTTAGTTGACAACAAAGCCTCAGAGTTTCTTGTGGAATACATGGACAACTTGTGAGCCACAGAATTCTGGCTGCGGTAGTCTGAAAAACAGAGCAGCCTTAGCCTGACACAATGAATAGAAAAACCATGAGTAAGTGATGTTTTGGGAATCGATAGACAAGGGATACAGGTTTCATAATGATGCTTCGTTCAGGAAGTATGTTTTGATTTATGTATTCGATCTGAAAAAAGGCAGGCTATTGATAGTTCTGAGAAAAATAAAATGCACTTTAAAACAGCATTGGTTAGCAGAGATAGATCGAGTCTTGCAGTGAGTCTCTGGGACACGTGCCCCCGTGCACGCTCGATAAGGGAACCTCCGTTTCTCTGATGACTGTGGTGATATAGAACACCCAGCGCAGGGTGATTCCTCAGTCTGTTCAGAAAGCTCAGGGTCGTGGGATTCTCCTAGGATTATTTTTCCAGTCCTCACGCCCACTTCAAGAGCATTTCAGCCCTAGTGTTCATGTAATACATTCATTGCCTTTGTTTATAACTATATGTGTAAAATGTAAATAAGCACATGAGTGTGTATTCCACATTGGTTGTGCAAAACTCCTATTTCACCATCTGAGTATCCCTTAACTTAATTAGTGTTGGGTGATTCAGAACTAACTTAACAACAACAGGTTAATGAGGTTTTTCAGAATTATCAATTATAAATTAGAATAGCTGCTTTTGTGGAAGTCTTTGTGTTAGACATTTGACATACCTACTTTTCAAATGCTAATGACAATCTTCTGGCATTGACTTATATTATCCCCATTACTGAGAGGAGCAAAATGAGAATTTAGGAATTTAAATTACCTGCCTAAATCAGTGGTATTAAAGTTCTCTGATCTTTAAGTAAAAATAATAAAGTGTTATATACCTAGGTCACTGTGAAGACCTAAAGAGTCTTTTGCAAAGTTCTCTGAACAATAGCAGAACCCAAAATAGGCCCATAAGAATTAAAAAGACTTATTTGTAGTGCAGACCTGATTTTCAGAATCATATGTGTTTTGTACATATTTATAATGTAAATATTTTGATGCTTTACATATGTTGCGTAGAGTTA